ATGTTATGGGTAATGCGCCAGTGTTTTGAAAGTTAGGTAGTTCGTTCAGATCTAGCCGGCGAGTTTGAAATAGAACTATGTGAGTACCACAGATGTCAATAAACTTAAGAATGCAAAATTATCTCTTTCAAATACTGGATGGTTAGAACATTTTTCACTATACATCTAAAAGTCGAATTAGCTAACCATAGAATATTGTGTTATTAATTTGTCATCAACATATCGAAAGATAAAAATTCAGGATAAAGGCTGGACCAAAGGAAACAATGAACATTTCTAGTCCTTTAAATCAAGCTCTTGCATTTGAATAATTGCTGTGGTCATATTTGTCGGTAGTGGGATGCTGATAGTTTCTCGACGTTCAGTAGACCGAACCGAAAGTTGTGATCGAGGTATCTATGCTGGAATAACACATTTTACGGTGATATATCGTTATTTTGTTTTTAAAAGGTATGAATGTTAGGTAACTTTGCATATTAATAATAAATTTTGAGGTTATCTTTATTTTTATTTCCGTTATGTAATTAGTATCAGATAACTGTATGGTTGCCAATTTATATTACAGTGTTTGTAAGCCTTCGAAGGACCGATTCACTATTGCCATACACTTCACTAACCCTTGGTAATCAGTAATTTATAATGCACTATTTGTGCTGTTCTCTATCACGTGTTGCAAGACTATGTTTACAGTGAGATTTCATATAAAGTGTGTCGTGCGGCTACATCTTTCAAGGACTAGTGAAATAAGTCAACGGTCTACTAGCGATGTGGGTGAAATAATCAACAGTTGGAATCCTGATTGAAGAATATACCACGTGATATTTATTAATATCTCTGTACATGTTAAATTAGTGACTGTAAGATACAACAGCTTATCTGACCATTTACATACATTTCACAATCAGAATACTACATTGTGGTATCTGGTCATCAACACGTATCATATCAACTTGAAATATTCCATCTCATTCCAAATTGTCACTTCAGAATTGATGGTTTACTACTTTTGTGTGGTTGTGGTTTGTATCTACGATGTCATTCTGCACTGTCATAATAGATGATCTTGTTACGACAATATGATTTTACTTTTATTCAAAATCTTACGTTTTCCTGCTTGAATGTCTTCCCATCCGAATCTGATGAGAACTAAAATCATAAAATGAAACCAGTAATTCACTTTCGTTCTGTGAATTTCACATTTAATATCATTATGTTAACAACGTTCGAAGTAAAATGCAGGTTCACTGATTTTAGAGAACATCTCATATTTAATCTGAATGCTTTGGTTCAGTTCTTATCAACTGTGTCTAATAATTTAAACCAATGAGTCTAGCTCGACACACGTTGAACTTCATTTCTTGCATCTCATTGTTGGAATGAGTGACATTCAACGAACTAATATGATTATGTAACAGAAAATATGGTGAAACGGCTTTGATATTATTACTATTGGTTTTCCATTGATTGACTTTTCGTGTATCCAGTTGATTAACCACGAATAACACAAAGTGTAAAGTCTGTATTTCCGTACTAGCCAACACCAAACATACTAATACACTGAAAAATTGTTTGAATGAGCAACTGAAAACCTTCAGTAGTTTAAATACTCAATCATGGAAGGTTAGAAACCTAGGCAGAAAAAAAGTATGAAAAGGGTATTGATAGTATGGTTCACATCGATAATGAAGGCCACTCATTTTTGAACCATCCAACGAATATCATACAGCACGGCCAACATATCATAACCGACACCACATTTTAATAAAAATGACTATCTAATCATCTCTGACATGACATAACAGCTCACTTTCAACAAAATGTTAGGACGAACAACGATCGTCGCACAGTAATTCACATCTCATCCACACACTGTTGAAATGCATCGATTTAATGAACTTACACAAATATTTATTGAATTCGAATGTCGAATAATAGAAAGTAGCAAATTTTCATCGAACTCCCGAATAACTTTGATGAAAATAACGATAAAAAAGCCAGAAGTTTGATTTGCTTCAGTAATAGTGATATAAAGAAGACAATCACATAATGGAAACAAATTGTAATACAACACATTGATGTCAATTGATGCTTTTATTATTACAACTACAATAAAGGTAAGTCACTGTATCTTACACTGATCTTATTTCACTATGAAATTGAAGAAACAATAAAGATTTATCTTACCTTCAATATATTGTGGTGATAGGTTAATGTAACACGCTGAACCATTGCGACTAGCTGCCTCCACTGTTCAATTGAGAAAAACAAGTACATAGAAATACATGATCAACGATAAGATAAAATCAGGTCAAATTGGTGCTCTCTGAGCTAGGTACGCAAATCACATGTCATTTTGTGTCCACATGTTTCTGAATGAAGTTACTGGAAGTATTTTTGTGCAGTCATATTCGAAAAGATGCAGTTAATTCAATTATGGACACTGCAGTGCAACGAGGAAACAAAACGAATACAAGTTAGTAATCAGCTGCGTGATTGCTTGCAGTATGATATCACCTGTGGTATCATAACTAACATTGTTATCAATTAATACATACGTGTATTTACAACTCAGTTTGGAACCAGTTTTACATCTCACTGTTTACCACAGACTGTTCAGCTTCTCACCCAGCGACTACTAGACTTATGTCATCAGAACCTATTTCAAGTTCACGTGTTCCCATAATCATAACAATGGATGTGTCATTTCTCAGTCATCATTTCACTGAATGCGTATGTAACATTGAAGTGGTTTGCGCAAGTTGAAACGGAAAACTTGCAAAGTGACGTCGTTCGAACAGGTAGAAAATCCTCAATATTCAATTCTTCAGATAGTATTGGTGGTTTTGCTTCTCTGTGTGCTTCCTAGTGTCACTAATGAACAGACATGCAAATGTCTTTCGCGAAAATTAGTAAACATTAAGATGTCGAGGAATACAAGTGTGAGAAAACATCTTGAGAAATATATCTCTTACTTCGATGATGCTTCTCTTGTCCTTCGAAACAGTTGATCAAATCAGTGAAGTTATAGTTGGTAACTAGGGCTGGTAAAGTAGACAAATTTGAAACATTCATCAAAATACTTAAAAGACCACTCTATTCAAAAGTGTAATTAACTGTCTGAAAATATCTCTATCTTATGTGTAAGTTGAATTGATCACAGGTTATTGATGTAGAACGGACTGAAGAGAGAACTTACGACTTTTGAATTCGTTGGCATGAATGGTTTCGATCATATCTGAAAGCGTTTGAACATAGAACTTGATCTTTTATGGATGCATTAATGGTATTTCGAAATACACAAAAAACGATTCATTCAGTACAAATAAAGAGATGAATGTCATAGAATACCTAATCGTTCACAGATCTTATTCATCAGTTAGTAGTATTAAATATTTAATATGTGACACAAAACCCGGTTGGTCAGAAGAAAGTAACACTGTGCTGCATTTGATATGAATAAAGATCTTCCACAGTAGTCCATCAACTTGGCATCAGAAATCTTTCGAAAGCGTTTAAGCAACCTAGTCATTTTCTTTATCTGTATCAACTAAATTTCACTTTCACAATCTACCACAAAGCCTCACTGATCTACAAAATGGTAAGTGTCATAGACTCTTCCGTGACTAATCAACCAACTGAGATAGTGAATGGATAGTACGAATGAAAATAAGCTTCACACTATTATTGTGTTATGTTTGCGATTAACGAAGGTGGTGAGAACGGATTTCAAGTGACGTGTTTAATTGAGCTGAATTTTGCAAGTTATTATTTACTGGAGCTTAATATAGAAATGCAATATTAGCCGACATTTGTACGAACTGAAGTACACTGGATATTCTTCCATGAATTACGGACTAGATACCATCTTATTATTATCTTTATACATGTGTATGTATAATTCCGTCTGTCTTTGATTTATTTGCTTTCACTCATTTCTTATGTTTATCACTGATTCTCTTCCACATTCCGTTCAAAACAACTGGAATGACATTGATGGATATAACATTTTTCCCTTTAGTAAGCTGACTATATGGCATGAACGTTACTGAAGTAAATACATTGTGTGTGAAGAGTGGGATTAGACAATGTCAAGATTCTGGTACACAAACAAAGCATTCAACTAAGCTTCACACGACTTGATAAGACTTCACTTAATTTGGACAGTTGATGAAAATCTGTTAGGTCGAAGTGTTTTACTTCAACATCACACAATCATGTCTCATTCACAGAGCTTTAGAACATTCTGCGTAAAGTGTGTTTGGTGTCAACAATATTTTCGCATCTGTTCTATTCGTTAAAGTTGTTATATTTTATTGATAATATTCTATTCAAGTCATACAAGAGCAACAACCAACGCACGGCTGACCTATTTGAATAAAGTCATTATAAGAATAAAATATTTTTCATCACAGAGTGAGTCATTATAGTGATGCTTGACACCAATTTACACTTCGTATTCACAATCACAAATCAAATTAAATCCAGAAACTTTAAAGCTTACGATCAGTCCGATATACTCAGACTATCGAACTACATTTACGATGAACACAGTGTCGAGGCGTGTCGGAAACTAAACAAATTAACTTGACATGTCTATTCATTTTATTGGTTCTCCATACATTTAACGTTGAACAGCATTTGCCAGTTGTCTAGATTTGTGAAATTATTGTGGTCCTATTTACCTATGCTTTATGATTGATAATTCGGTGAAAGGTATCAAAATATTACCGAACTATAAAGCCACAACCTTAAATTCAATGGGTAAAGACGATGGATAACAATAATATTAATAATAATAATAATAATAATAATAATAATAATAATAATAATAATCGTCATGATACACTAAACATTTATTTGATCGCGCAATTTAAAACACTCAATAGTTTAAATATCCGATCATAGAAGGTTTGAAATCGTTGCAGTAAACAGTGTGAAACGGGTATTCACAAATTTATCAAAATATTCATCCATCACGTTAAGTTCAGTGAGTAACAACGATGGATGATGATGATGGAGATGATGATGATGATGATGATGATGATGATGATGATGATGATGATGATGATGATGATGATGATGATGATGATGATGATGATGATGATGATGATGATGATGATGATGATGATGATGATGATGATGATGATGATGATGATGATGATGATGATGATGATGATGATGATGATGATGATGATGATGATGATGATGATGATGATGATGATGATGATGATGATGATGATGATGATGATGATGATGATGATGATGATGATGATGATGATGATGATGATGATGATGATGATGATGATGATGATGATGATGATGATGATGATGATGATGATGATGATGATGATGATGATGATGATGATGATGATGATGATGATGATGATGATGATGATGATGATGATGATGATGATGATGATGATGATGATATGATGATGATGATGATGATGATGATGATGATGATGATGATGATGATGATGATGATGATGATGATGATGATGATGATGATGATGATGATGATGATGATGATGATGATGATGATGATGATGATGATGATGATGATGATGATGATGATGATGATGATGATGATGATGATGATGATGATGATGATGATGATGATGATGATGATGATGATGATGATGATGATGATGATGATGATGATGATGATGATGATGATGATGATGATGATGATGATGATGATGATGATGATGATGATGATGATGATGATGATGATGATGATGATGATGATGATGATGATGATGATGATGATGATGATGATGATGATGATGATGATGATGATGATGATGATGATGATGATGATGATGATGATGATGATGATGATGATGATGATGATGATGATGATGATGATGATGATGATGATGATGATGATGATGATGATGATGATGATGATGATGATGATGATGATGATGATGATGATGATGATGATGATGATGATGATGATGATGATGATGATGATGATGATGATGATGATGATGATGATGATGATGATGATGATGATGATGATGATGATGATGATGATGATGATGATGATGATGATGATGATGATGATGATGATGATGATGATGATGATGATGATGATGATGATGATGATGATGATGATGATGATGATGATGATGATGATGATGATGATGATGATGATGATGATGATGATGATGATGATGATGATGATGATGATGATGATGATGATGATGATGATGATGATGATGATGATGATGATGATGATGATGATGATGATGATGATGATGATGATGATGATGATGATGATGATGATGATTGAGGTGGAATGTAGAACCTGATCTCCATCGAATATATTGAGTTGGAAAACCACATCATGTTAAAATAAACGGAAAATTCGAGCGATTTTATTCCAGTTATGTGTTTTATTAATATTACTCAACAGACAAACCACAAGTCACGAAGGAATTATGTCAGTCTTTCGAACTCGATTATACACCGAGTACCTCATATTGAAAAACAATGAATGGGATACACACAGGGAGAGGGATAAAACCAAACATGTACGCATGAAGGCGAAAGATCACAGTGAAAATGGAATATATTACAGTACCAAATATGCCAGTAAAGATTGATGCGACAAACGATATATTCCCATCTTATGACTGTGTAAACTGCTAAGCTGAGGTATGATATAAAAGCCACCACACTACAAAAGAATTCCAATGATTTCTGGTGAATCAAACGAAAAATAGTTTTCGACCAGTAACATACCACCGAAGGTTATTGCTCCTTGTTCGCTTTCAGAAAAACTACGTCGACACTCGATCACTAAATTTTATAATTAGATCACTTCAACACTATTATTCGATAATCTACCTTCATGAGGTTGCCCATCGTGATTTTTCGAATTCGCAGTTATTTCCGCTATGAACAAACACAATTCAAAACAACGGTATTATATTGTAGTATAAGGATATGTAGGGGTCGTCGAATTTCGTGGTTTTAAATCGATAACTGACCTCATTTCAACAATCGTCGAACGACAGTAAGCAATAGGTACCTGCTGTGAGGATTGATGTCTGACTATCCCTGATTTTCTACTCCTATATGGCTAGCAATACAGAACTATGCAGAGCTGCATTACCCTCACCTTTTTTAAAAATTGTCTAAAAAATGCCTACTAACATAGCTTGTCCGAGTAACCACTACATGAAACAGGTTGGTTCGTTCTTTGTTTTGTTCTCTTCAACATATATCTATGTTAGCCTCATCATAATAGTCCCTATTCAAACCTGTTTTATTTACACTTCTATTGCTTAAATCTTTAATCAAATGTTTCAAATCTCAGGCGTTTATGTTGCGTCATGTGTGATTACAGAGTAGAGACTGACTCACAGAACCATGTGTGCATCCATCTCAACTGTAGTCAAGGAACAATGAATTAAAGAATACTTTCAAATGCAATGTTATTAAGTCAGAATGACCCGCTACAATCCCTTGAACATACCATCCTGTCAAGTCAACATAATCGATAGTCGTCCGAACTGTTGTAAAAGGACGAAGAGTGGCAAAGTTTGAAAAGTCATGTCTATTTTTCAATTTATTATCATTGTCGACATTTTTACTGTACAATTAGTGGATACTTGTTGCATCCCGACATTACATCTAATGTAAGCTTTCAGTGGACCTATTGACTGTTGTCATGGGTTTCATGGTTGATTTGAAAACAAGGAGGAACTGATCTCATTTTTATCTGAGTCTTTTTAGTGTCCACATGGTCTGTTGGAGATTGAGGACTAATAAGCGTTAAATCCATGACTGTGGTTCATTGGTCTCTGAGTTAGGTCTTGAGATATGTTACCAGTCCAACTGACGGAGTAGCACATGAAATTGATCAGTATATCAATTCCCAACACACTAGCGATTTCAAGACACAACACGTACCGTGAGTCAGTATGTGTGAGGAACAGGCAAATCCACATATTTACTTTATTCATACACACGTGAAATCAACCGTTGTCCAAAATTCAAAACCGTAGTTGTACAGTTTACGGGTTCACCGGACATCTGTTGTATTTAATGAACAAGTATTCATGATACGTACTCCATGTTTTGCAAATTTGACCGAATTGGCGACGGTCTGGAATCAAGTAATCTGTGAGTTCAGTCAGTTCACGATTCACAATCAGAAATATCGGTGAAATGCATTCGCTCATTTTTGATGATGATCAAAAAACTCTACGATTCAGTAAAATTGAGATATTCAAATAATTGACGTACCCATTAGCTTTTCAATATTAAGTCTCGCCCATTGTACTCTAGAGTCGAACCATCCTAACATACCTGTGAAAAAAATTGAAGAAAGGTTTGTCTTGGTTGGAAAACGTATCTCACTTTATTACTGAAAATTCAATATGGGAAAATATTTCTTTAATGGAACACAGTTGTATGCGATCATTCGAGATTCGAATGTTGTATATGCAAGCACACATGTGTGCAATGTGTTGAGTAACATAGATGCGTAAACATAGGAAATGACTATTTCCTACGAAAGAACGATAAACAGTCATCACATAGAACTGTCGTTGGTTATGGAAATTAAACTCTCAATGTTTGAAAGATCTAGGTCAGTATCTGTAATGCACTGTGATTTATAATCTTCAGTAGATAAGGAAAACAACATAACATGAGTTAAGTTGCTAGACAATATTAATTTTCGAATAAATGATTCAGTGAGTAAGGGGAAATAAAAGTGATAACTTACTCTCATGACCTTTTATCATTCTTTCAATGTTATCCATATCAATTTGTGAGGATTTCACATCTAAATATCGGAAAGATTCAAAATGTCAATTACTAATTCACACAACAAGTAGATCACGATCATAAAAATGTATCCACAGGAGGAAGATGGCAAACTTTATGTGTGTGTCATTGTCGTATAATTGAATGTTTCAATTGTATATGCGTATAGAAGCGTAACTAGCTCCTTTTGCTGATATGAAACAATGTGACTTAAATAAGGTGTAATCGCTTTGTCAGTTGAGGTTATGATTATGGAATACCGTTAGAAGAATTAACGATTATTAGTTTACTGGCCATCCGATTTGAAACGACTTTCCCGTAGTTATAATGCGGAGTCTTGATTAATATAGCCAATCCTGTCAAGGATGAGCGTTATCATTCATTATCCATGTTTCACGATTATATTACTTATAAAATTACTGAATTTGAAAGTGAGAACAATTGAAATATGAGTCAATGATCTAAATGTATCTTACTTGTCATGAGACATGAATCGTATATGTTCTTTGCCATGGTTAATTTACAATGTTGAGGAGATCGTGATCAGCATTAAACGGCTGTGCAGTGTCATCTGCTGTCTTTTATTTTGCCAACTCATGGAAGATTGCAAGGAAAGTCATCTTGAAATTAAATCCGTTGCTTACACAATCAGCAGTGATTTGTAAACAAAATGTATCTGATAACTAGTTGCTACAGAGTATCACTATAAAAGTCACATCATAGCTTGAAAGTATGCAAAAATCAAATTCATATGTGATGGTTTGTCGATTTGGTCTGGTGAACCAAACAAGTATCTCATCTGATACATAATTCACAAAGCAATCAGTACACTAGAGCACTGCTCTTTCTATAGTACTTCTACATACATTCATATCTGCTCAACAAACGATTTTGAGTATAGATTTGGTTTGCATCATTTACTCTTGTACAATGGAATGTTTGCATGGACATAGCAAAATTGCCAAGTTTAGCTTATCAAATGTGTGGATGATTGCTCCTGCCACGACTATCAAATCGAGTTATTCAATTCATGACATCCGATACAGCCCTCTTGATTGATATAAATTCACGACATCACAATATTTCGAATGATGGGAAGCATGAAGTTCATGCGAAATGTCTAATTAGAGATGTTATTAGTAGTGAAAAATGTTGCTTTATACCCAGTTTTGTAATATAATTTTGCGGCGCTTATTAATCGAAAGGAGTCGTCATACATTGTCATGGTACCAGTGGATAAATTTGAAATAGACTAAATGACAAGGATTCAAATGTTCATCTTCGTCATTCTGTTTCTACTTTGACAATATTGAAACAGTACCACAATCCAAATAGCTTATCACTCGAGGTAGATTACAACAAAGCTGTGTTAATATAACAATCAGAACAATATGTTAACTATAACTAGTCAAGTATGGTTAAACTCAATAATGGTGAAATATTATATCTTATGAATATTCGGACACACTCACCCATTTGTGTGGTTATACACAACAACAAAATGATGATGATACAGTTGTACGCCATAGAATGAAGCAAGAATCTGATGTTTCTCCTAATGAAAAGGCAGCTATAATTGTCATTTTATATAGTGAATACACAACAGAAAGGTAGTCACCAATCACATTTTGACAAATACAGTAAAATATTTGAATAACGATGTTTGGCGTTGCTGATTTCGACAATCCATCTTCATGGTCGTTCCACACATAGAAAACACCCACACTCATATAGATCGGAAGTATTTCTTTGATCACATTAAATGATTGAAGTTTATCTTCTGTGATTTAGCTTCACTTAATGAATGATTGTTGACAAATAAAGAAAACCAGACTAGTTCTATCTAGAATGCGCTAATCCTGTCTGGTTAACACTGATACGTTCACAATAGTCTACAAAATTCTATAAAATGATAATTAGACTGAATAAGTATTTCTTCTCAATTAGCTGTTTATTAGGGCTCTACAGAGATAGTTAGGTTTTACAAGTGAATAGAAAGTCGGTACCATTTAGATGATGGTGAGTCTAGTTAACATTTGAATGATTGAAACCATAACTGAAGTGAGGTTTTATAATCACCTAATTACTACAACGAGTAAAATAAGAGGTACAACCGAATAGAAATTGCATATAAATGATGTTGATGATATTAAGGTTACCGGTGAAAATATTGATTCGTTTTCAGTAGGATTTGTGCAATAAAAGTAGACAACAAGGTAGAAGGTATCGATGTCAAAGTTGGATCTGATAAGTTCAAATAAATTGAACATTGGATGGAAAGGGAATAACCGAATTCGGTTATTTGTTTACTTTGAAGAGGTGGCTAACACGAAGTCACGAAACGTCAAATATACCTTCTTCTACTCAATGAGATATAACGAAATATATATTAACTATTAGATTTCAAGATCATCAAACAATTTAAACACAATTAGAATTATAAACTAATATGCTAACACAAGTAGAATTGTGTATGATTTTAAAGAAGAAAACGTTTTGAAAGATATGACAGTATTTTGGTAAGTTCAACGTC